CAGGCTCTATTTTAACATTCTCTTTGATTTCAAACCTAGTGCTTGAGATGTCGAGGCCCTCTGCCAACCTTTGGGCTCTATTCATGGTCAACACCGTGGCTGTTAAGTGAACACACTTATATCGAGTGCCTGCTCTAGTAAACTGCAAATCCCCCGCTATTACAGTGGGATCAGATCTACAATGTATCTCATCCAATAGAACGTAATCGGCCTGAGATTCTATAAGGTGTGTTCTTCTGAGGGCTGCACCATAGGTCATGATCATCAATTTTTTCCAACCATATCCTGAAATTTCGGTGCTATCCTCATGCTGTTGTCCTACCACATATTCAATGCTGTAGTTGATACCACCTATGCCATTTGTATCTAATATCTCACATATTCGGTGGAATGCAGACTTGACAGCCGCTACTGTTGGTTGCAACAGGAATATTTTACAGTCATTACTCGCCGATTCAATTAAATTAGACGTAAAGGACATGGTTTTTCCAGAACCTGTAGGGGCTTCCAGTAGATAATACATATTACCATTTTCAAGTTCATTGCCGATCAAGTCAGCTACAGCAGTTTTGAAAAAATTATCGGGCACGGCTTCGACCGACACGTCTGGCGCCAATGTTGTCATTGCAACGTTCTCTTCTTCGTCAACAACATGTTGACTACTAAGGATACGCCTACTCTCAATTTTGCCTAATCCGTAGATGGAAACTATCTCCCCTTTGTAATTAAAAATTGGGCAACCACTCATTCCCGCTACACCTTTCCACTTGCTGGCCTTAACGAAATTGTACGTCACATCTACTGTTATAGGTCTCATCTCATAGAATACAGCTCCCTCTCTTGTGTCGTAAGACACTTGTGCGGATTCTACCAACATATATTGGCCAACTCTCCTAGATGGACACACAACACATAGAATTTCGCCTTTTTCGGCTCTGGCCATCTTAAATGCTTTATTGCCATATATGACTAGATCCTCATCAGCGGATGAATGGAATATTTTATCCCATGTAAAACTCATCCCTGCGCGTGTGAGAGTGACCTGATTGCCGTAGGTTACGTGATAAGATGAAACCATCACATCAGTGTCACCGAAACAACACCCTGCATCCAAGGCTGATATAATTTCTCCTAGCCAATATTCACCAGGCTGTACATCCCAGATCTCTTCGGCATTGCCAACCTCACAAGCAACCTGGTCTCGATGGAAAGGTAACTCGTTGACCTCTACAGTCTGGACGTTCCTCCAGCCAACTAGAGAGCATAATGTTACATCCTGTTCGATTGCTGCTCTTAATCTGGCAGCGCCTGTCGCCCAATCGGGATGAATTATAACACTATTTTTTGGAATAACCGCTTTATGTAGCTCTGGCTCTTGAGTTAAAAACCAATTCTGGAGCTCGGCTAGCTCCCCATGATTATCGCTAATGAACAATAAACAGGGCGTTTTAGCCATATCACATCCCAAAAACAACTTTTCCGCATCTTGGCAAGGGTCCCTTGTTAATGCTAAAAGATCACCTAAGTATGATATCGCTTGAAACCCATGCCGACATAAAAATTGGTTTAAGACGCTGCAAGCTTCTAGCACATGTGTAATAGGCGTCTTGATTAATATGTCGCCTGCTTTCTCCCTAACAATTGTCTGATTGCTAATTTCTATCTTAATCCTACAAATATTTCGACGGATATAAGAGCTATCCACAAAGCCCAGCATGGGGGCTTGGTTGGCATACGTCACTGTAGGCTCATCCAACATGTATTTTTCAACTTCTCTAAACCACATCACTGGTCCGCCAGCTTTCGTGATGTTTTTAGCCAGTTCATCTGGCACGCCGACTATCATCGGGCAATATTTGATTGTATCAACGCTACAGTATTCATAATCCCACGCGTCGTATTCCTGATCAGTCACCTGACGCAGGTGCTCACCGGGCATGGTTGCTTCGGTGAGTTCCTGTGTCGTATAGGGCGGGAGGTGACGGCAGTGTGCCACCACTGCGGGCACGGCGAGGACACCGCCCAACACACGCTGGAGTTCTGTCCAGCGTGGAGTGTTGAGCGCGATGTCCTCGTTCGCGCAGTCGGGAGAGACCTTTCGCTGCAAGCATTGGTGAGGGCCATGCTTGCGAGCGAGAGGTCTTGGAAGGCGGCCGTCACCTTCTGCGAGTCTGTCATCTCGCAGAAGGAGGCGGCGGAGAGGGCCCGCGAAGCCGCGGACCCTGCTCGTAGGAGAAGGAGGCGAGGGAGGGCCTAATGCCCTCCTTCATTTGTCGGTTTGGAAGGAGGGCATGGGGCCCTCTTTCGTTTTTTTTTTGGGGTGGGGAGACCCGGAAGTCTCCCCGGCCACCGCTGTAGGTGGCCAGTTGGACGAGGGAGGAGACATATTGACTCCCCCTTCCTCGTGCCTGGGGTGGATGCCCCGGGTACGTAGGTGGGGTGGAGCGTTGTCTCCTCCCCTGGGCGTCCCGGACAGGGTGTCCGGGGCGCGGAGTATACGCGGTGCCCGTGCAGATGGGATGCACTTTGTTGCATCGCAGATGCACGGGCACCGCGGGGGTCGCCGGCGGTCAGGGTGGGGGCCCAGACCGTCATGTTATGGCGACCCCGGAATGTGCGGCGCAGTAGTGTGGCCCTACTTTCGCGCGATTCAGGGGGGGACTTAATGCCCCCCAGGGATTGGAGCCCACCCCCCCATGTAAAAGGGGTGGGCTGTCTCGCCAGGGGGGTACCGGTAGTATGCTTTTTAGCGATCCCGGTGCCCCCCTAAGGGCGAGGCGGAGGGCCACCGGAGGGGTTTTAGTGGGTAAAAATCCCACATNTTTTTCGCCCGTATTTCGATCCCCACTACTATTCCCCTCATGCGTGCTCATGCGCGTTCGCGAAGCTCTCCGCAGCGGTACCGTGAAAATCAGTGCATACCCCCACCAACTATTGGTCCCCACCATGGTCGCGTCGTCCCCACTTTCCGGCGTGTACGGATGGACACGAGATCCCTGATAGACGGGCGGCTAGGCGAGAAAAGAGCCCTTTGCCTAGTCAATCGGCTTGGAACGCTTGGAAGTTCAGACTCGCGTTCTGTCGGGCGAAGAAGCGGGCCTGGGAATCAGCGGAGATGCTGTCGGCCCAGGTCAGCGGACTATATCCCTCGTTATGTCCTGACCCGGCGGATGCCGGGTTCCATTTGAGGGTCCGGGGAGGGCAACGGAGGGACGCAGTTGAACAATTGATATGGATACTCGAACAAAAATACCAAAGGCCGAAGTAGTGCTCCATAAGTTGGAGTGCAAAAAGACATCGAAGGAGGCGAAAGCGGCTACAAGCGGCCTAGCCTCCATCCCAGAGGCGGAGGAGGAGAAAGGTGGGACCGAAAGGTCCTCACCGGATCCGAATCCGTTCAACCACTCCAAGGTGGAAACACCGAGGAGTGAGGTCACGGGCCAATGTTCTCGCCCAACGAGCGGGAAAGAGGCCAGCGACAGCTCGAAGACCGGGAAAGCCCATGTCCCGAAAGGGAAGTCGAAGGGCACGATCGGTCAAAAGGGCGCCAAGTCCTCTTCTGCTGCCGATGATGCGGCTGGACAGGACAAGGCGTCGACGCCGGCAAAGAAGCCCGCCCCTGGAAAGGGCGTCGGAGGGTCGAATGCCGGCACCAAAACGAAGGGTTCGAGGAGTTCCGAAGCCTCTTCAAATGTCGACGCTCCAAAAGCTGTACTGGCAGCCGGGAGCGCCGATGGCCAATCTGGTGACGGTTGGAAAACTGTCACCAAAAAGCGAAGTAGAGCCAGTAATGGCAATTCGAACGAGAAGGAGAAGGCGTCGCCGGCACAGAGGCCGGCGATACCCGTTCCCAAGTGGCGTCTCCTTGAGAAAATCAGGGAGGACGCCAACACCGAGATGTCGGCCCTGCAAACTTGTTGCATACGATCTGAATCTAAGGTCAGCAAAGAGGTAGGGTCGAAAATTCTCGAGGGTGCCGGCTCGCTCAGCCGACTCGTCCAGGAGCTGCTTCTCCGGAACAGCTACCTCGAGGGACAGTTGGCGATGGCTCGCGGAGACGTCCAACGCTCTCAAGCGGCCGTCGAGAGCGCAGTCCGAAGCCTCAAAACTACTTCGCGGCCGGCGACGGCCAGAAGGACTGCGGAGCACGGTGTCACCTACACCGATATGGTGAAGGTGGGCACCTTGAAAGTAACTCCATGGTCGGTTCAGCCTCCACGTAGTATGGTGCGCGTGAATCCGCCCAAGGGGAAGAACCAGGACAGCAAGGCGACTAAGCAAGCTGTCCTGGAATCGGTTAAGCCGGTGAAGGCGCAGATCCGCGTCAAGTCCATTTGGCCTATACAAAACGGAGGTGTGGCAATTGAGACCGAGCGCAAAGAGGATCTGGCGGCTTTTACCGGAAACCAAAAATTGAAACAATCCGGCCATTCCGTTACCCTTCAGGCCAAAAGGAAGCCTACACTCATTGTGTACGACGTTCCTAAGGCCACAAAGAAGGAGGAAGTCGCCTTGGTGATCTGGAAGCAGAACCTCGCGGACCTGTCCCAGAAGGACGTGTCCTGCGGTCTGAAGGTGAGATTCTCGTATCACACCAAGGACAAAACGGAGGCCGTCAACTGGGTACTCAAAGTGAGTCCCGAGATTCGTTCCAGGCTCAGGCGAGCAAATTTGAACGCTAATCGGGTGTATATTGGACGGAGGTCCCTCAGATTTGAGGACTTCATCCAGGTTCCTCACTGTTTCAAGTGCCAAGCATTTGGACACGTGGCGAAATACTGCCGATCGGATGAGGTATGCGGTCACTGCGCCGAAAAATTCCATACCCTTGCATCCTGCCAACACAAGGACAAACCTCGTGTTTGTTCCCCTTACAAAAAGGCGGGCAAGGAGCATAGGCATGTATCTAGAAAGGAGGCCTGTGCGACTTACAAAGTCGCACTCGAACGCCTCATAACTAGAACTTACTATGGAGAATAATACTCAAACGCGACCTCTTACTAGGCTCCGGGTCCTGCAACCGCTCGCCAGCGTGTCAAACGCGTGAGCTTCTCAATTTCCACGGATTCTTTAGGGAGTACATTCAGCGGTCCACCTACGAGGAAATGATCTGGCGTAAGGACCGCGTAATCGTCTGCGTCTTCACTCAGAGGAGAGATCGGGCAGGAATTCAACGTGGCCTCGATCTTGCAAAGCAGAGTTTGCATTTCTTCTCCTGTAGGAGTGAAGTCTCCCATAATTCTCTTCAGGTGATGCTTTACCGATTTGACGCCGGCCTCTTGCATTCCGCCAAAATGAGGCGCGCTAGGATTGAATTTCCATATCACTCCTAGTTCGCTGCATCGGTCACGCATCTCGATACGCAGAAGTATAGCATCGGTGGAATTCTCGTACCAATTCTCGACTCGCTCCGACGAAATTTGTTCCGTTGTCGCTAAGTACGCAGACAGGAACTCCGCGTCTCGATACAAACCGATCGAAGACTGCTAAGAACGCATTCGTCGAGTAATCGTGAACCAACTCGATGTGGACTGCTCGTGTTACGTAGCACACAAATACGGCAATATACGCCTTGTGAGCCGTCTTTCCTCGGCCTGCAGAATCTCGGACGTGATAAGGTCCGGCATAATCGACGCCGCAATTAGTGAACGGTCTCGTCGGTCGGCACCTTTCCGGTATTAGATCCTGCATTATCTGTACCGATGGCTCAGCCCGCTAACGTGTACATCGTATGCATCTATTAATCACCGATCGCGTCTCATTTCTGCATCCCAGATTCCAAAATCGTGGACGCACAGTATGAATCGTAGCTTGCATTCCTCCATGCAATGTAGCCAGGTGACTTTGCCGTATAATCAACGTTGCCACATAATGTTTCGGCAAGATGATTGGAAATTTCGTCTCCCATGGAATGATGGAGTGCCTCAAGCGTCCACCGACCCGTAGAACGGACTTCTCGTCCAGAAAAGGGTTGAGTGCTCGTAATTTCGATCCAACGGGA